TGGTAATCTACAGGCCCCTACCGCTGTGCTTTAAAGTGATTGAATCCAAGGACCGGGATCCCAGCTTACATTATAAGATAAGAGTAACCATAATAATAAACTCATTCCATTGACTCAGTCTTCTCTTGTCTTCTGATATCTGACCAGCAGTTTCTAGAGCAAGGGTATAATCCACTGTATTCTTTATTCTCCTTGCCCTTGAGACTTTAAGTGAGTAAGTGAAGCTCCGATAGTAGGAGTAAGGAAGGGGAATCTGTCAGGTGCCCGGGCTCTGCTTGGCCACCAGCCCCTCCCCCAGGCTGTTACTGCCCACTGGTAAGGAAGCTTTTAGGCACATGTCACCGGTTGTCCTGATGCGTCTTTCCGCTCTGGGACCCCTCACTGCACGAAGTCATCTGTCCCCTTAGTCTGCTCCCATGTGGCCAGTGTCTGTCTTCCCTGACCCTGAGGTCCCTCCAAATGCCTTAACAAGCAATAGATCTGCTCTACCCTCCTGGAATTGTCATTCTAGGGACCATTTGGAACACACTCGTGGGCAGAGGGGCTCTCAAAGCTGTAACTGCAGTGTAGACTAGAAGGTGGTCCTGGTACCAACAGTCAGGAGCCTCCGCCTCCATGTGAGAAGGGAACCTGCTCTGGGTTCAGAGGGAGGAGATGAGGGAGGTGCAGCACAGAGCGCAGCTGCCTCTGGGTGTTGTCCGTTTTCTGTCTCGCAGACTTCTGCTTTTTAAAGAAACACAGGTGACAGGTGACGCTCCAAGTCCTGTGCAGCCTCGTTCTTCCCTCCTCCTCTCTAGCACCACTGCCTGCAGGCATCGCTTTCCAGACCTTTTTTTCTGTGTGTGTTAAAATTTTACATGATGAAATAATATAACAACTGGAATCTTTTTCTTGAAAAATTTTAAGCCTTCAGAGAAGTAAGTGCAAGAAGAGCTCAGTCATCATCTGCTTCACACTTAAGTTAACCAAGTGTTTACTCCATTGGCGCTGTCTCTCTCTCTCTTCTATTTATTTGCTTATTTGTTTTGCAAATAAGACATTTCACCCCTAAATAATTGAGCTTGTAGCCCCTCCGCTGTGGGGTATCCTCCTACTGGTACAGGGTGGAGGAGGGACCGTAAAGTAGCTCCCAAAATGAGACCCAAAAAACGAAGCAGGCAACTCCTTATAGTTTTATTCAAGGTGACTTACGAGCAGGGGAGATGGGGTGGGCAATGACCCACTTGTGCTGTTGGTCTCCACAAAGTCTGGACAGTTGTCTACAGATTTTGTAGACAGGGTCCGTGTGCCACTCACTGACTTCTTCGAATTAGATCTCATGGCACCACCTGTGCCTTTACCAAGGGCCAAAGCAAGCTTCCTACCCTCCTGGACTTGGTGGGTGTTTCTCAGGTTCGTATATTAATCTCCAAGAGCCCCTGGGCCATGTAGGGTATCAGCGAGTGACCGTGAACAAGACAGAGGACTAAGGATGGAGTCACCCGGATTACCACAATATAATTAATCGTGTTCCAGAAACATAGCATGGATATAATGCTACTATTGAATATATAGTCCCCATTTGAGTGTTTGCCACTCATCCCAGTCATTTCTGTCATAGCTGTTTTCATTCATATGTGTGTTCATTTGGGAATGTAGAATCCAGTCAAAATTTTCTCACAGCACTTGTCTGCCATCTCTCTCTCTTTTTGCCTTTCGCTCATTGCATTGACCGTTTTGTTTGTTTGTTTGTTTGTTTGTTTGTTTTTAAACTATCCAAGGTAATCTTTTCATTCCTTCTCAGAACCTTCTCAAGCTGGTGTTTTGGGTCGCTGTTGGATTTCCGATATCTGTCCCCATGAATGCCCTGGGTCAGTTTTTGCAACATGTGCTTAGAGTTTATTATTGTTTGGGTCCCCTAGCGCTCTGAACTGGTGCCTCTGGCCATCTTGGTCCCCACGTGTGACCTCCTGTTGTCCCTTCCGGCAGATCAACATCATGCAGAGCGAAACAGTGCAGGACGTGTTACTCCTGGACCCCCGCTGGCTCTGCACCAACGTGCTGGGGAAGCTGCTGTCCGTGGAGACCCCACGGGCCCTGCACCACTACCGGGGCCGCTACACCGTGGAGGACGTCCAGCGCCTGGTGCCCGACAGTGACGTGGAGGAGCTGCTGCAGATCCTGGACGCCATGGACATCTGCGCCCGCGACCTGAGCAGCGGGACCATGGTGGACATCCCCGCCCTGATCAAGACGGACAACCTCCACCGGTCCTGGACAGACGAGGAGGACGAGGGGCGGGTCTACGGCGGCGTGCGCATCGTCCCCGTGGAGTACCTCACCCCCTTCCCGTGCGGCATCTTTCACAAGGTCCAGGTGAACCTGTGCCGGTGGATCCACCAGCAGAGCGCGGAGGGAGACGCAGACATCCGCCTGTGGGTGAACGGCTGCAAGATCGCCAACCGCGGGGCCGAGCTGCTGGTACTTCTGGTCAACCACGGCCAGGGCATCGAGGTGCAGGTGCGCGGGCTGGAGACGGAAAAGATCAAGTGCTGCCTCCTGCTGGACTCCGTGTGCAGCACCATGGAGAACGTCATGGCCACCACGCTCCCGGGGCTGCTGACGGTGAAGCATTACCTGAGCCCCCAGCAGCTGCGGGAGCACCACGAGCCCGTCATGATCTACCAGCCGCGGGACTTCTTCCGGGCGCAGACCCTGAAGGAGACCTCGCTGACGAACACCATGGGGGGCTACAAGGAGAGCTTCAGCAGCATCATGTGCTTTGGCTGTCATGACGTGTACTCACAGGCCAGCCTCGGGATGGACATCCATGCCTCGGATCTGAACCTCCTGACCCGGAGGAAGCTCTGTCGTCTCCTGGACCCACCCGATCCCATGGGGAAGGACTGGTGCCTTCTCGCCATGAACTTGGGTCTCCCCGATCTTGTGGCGAAGTACAACACCAACAACGGGGCTCCCAAGGAGTTCCTCCCCAGCCCGGTCCACGCCCTGCTCCGGGAATGGACCTCCTACCCCGAGAGCACGGTGGGCATCCTCATGTCCAAACTGCGGGAGCTGGGGCGTCGGGACGCAGCGGACTTTCTACTGAAGGCGTCTTCTGTGTTCAAGATCAACCTCGAGGGCAATGGCCAGGAGGCCTATGACTCGAGCTGCAACAGCGGCACATCTTACAACTCCATTAGCTCCGTCGTGTCCCGGTGAGGGCAGCCTTGGGCTTGGGCGGGGTCTCTTTGGACTGCAAAACAGGGGGACGCGGCCCCTCTTTCCCATCCAGAAATTCAGGGTGCATCACCCTGTGCCCACATATGGAAGGATGCCACTCTCCCTCCTGTTTTACCAGTCTCTCTGCCACTGTGTCCCTCCCGCTCACACACTCCACTGTGTGTGGATGGTCTTTCTCGTTTCAGAGCAGACCGTGCATCCCCTTGTCCTCTGGCCGTTTGAGAAACTAGCATCCCTCCTCTCTGTGTTCTGGATCCATCTCACCTCCAGCACCTTGCTCCTTGCTGATAATTTTACTGGAATTCCTCACTTTCAATGAAATTTTTTAAACTACGGATTGTCCTTTAAAGAAAAAAAAAAAAAACCACACACATTTATCCAAAATGTGTATTACTTCTCCTCTTGTCCCTGTTAGACCACATCCTCAGCTTATCTCTTTGGTATTTGTAGGAAGGACTCCCATGCACGGACTCCCACTGTATCCCTCATAAACAGACAACATGTGAGTGCCTTTGCAGAAGAGGGTGTGTCTGAGAGCAGCCGGGTCAGCCAGGAGCTGTCGCCAGGAGACGCCCCCTCTCTGTCCCTTGCTGTCTGCTGATCACCGCTGGAGGTGCTGCGCCCTGAGCTGGTTTGTCCCCCAGTAGTTTTTGTGTTTCACTTGGCAAGGAAAGGGGAGGAAGGAACCCTCTTCTGGAGTCATTTCATGACCGGCGTTGTTTTCACGGAAAGACTTGTCTTTGTTGCTCTTGTTTAAACGTCGACGTGCGGGTCCACGCAGCACCTGCCCACGGTCCCCCTGCCTCATTCCCACGCATCTCAGGTAGAAGGTGACACAGCTGCAGGTGAGGAAGGCCTGTGGGAGAACTCGGAAGACCCCTGCCCCATGGCGTGTGGCAGTCCGTTGTCATCGGTGCACAGCGGACGATTTTTACATCTAGCTTCTGGTTCCGTAACCTTGTGTACTTGAAGTCCAACAAGATGACGGAAGTCAGTTTCCTTGCAGTGATTTTAAATTGTGATAGAGTTTTAAGTTGATATGAGGGAACGTGTCCTAATTCTTCTGTCCTGGGAAGCACGTAATTTTAATGTTCCATTCCATGTGTGTATATGTGTATATATATATAAATATGCAGTATGTATATACATATATATGAATACAGGTATTTTTACTTAATCTATACAATGTAGTAAAAAGATGTTGGTTTCTCACTTCTGTTCCCTTTTTTTCTTTTCCCTTTTTTTTAATATAAATAAACTATTGCTTGTTGCATTCGATTGTTGGTCTTTCATTCAAAAAGGATCCTTTATCTCTGTTTTATTTTCACCCCGCGGTACCCACAGAACGGACAAACCACACTGAAGTCCAGAAAGTCCGTGAACCTGAACCCCCGTATGGACACACCCAACTTACTTCAGGGTTGTTGTTACTAAAATTGGGAATGGTTTAAAAAAAAAAAAAAAAGTGAGAATGGTACAGGGAAATGGGAAGAGCCCAGAGGGTTTTCACGTTTGTTCTCACTCAAAGAAGGGAACCACTTCCATTGTCCTTGCCTGACCCAAACACAGGCGGAATCCTGGAGTCCCGACGCGGGCACTTGGAGAGATTGATCTGTACAGACGTGCGGGGAACGGCCCGCAGGAGGGAGAGAAAACCCACTACACATTTCCCTTCATGAACAATCACACCCAACACTGAGCAGGGCACCAGAGGCCAGGACAGATTCGGGAAGAATCTGGAGAGGCCCTTCCTGTTCCTGCTCGAGTTCTAACCCAGCTCAGAATTCTGCCCCCAGACCTTTCACAGACTGCAAATGGAAACAGAAAAAAGGAACTCTTGGGGCCAGATGTGTTACAGAATTAATAAAAAATCCAATTTAGAAATGCAACGGTACCAAAACCATCACAGGACCCTGGCCAGTTTGAAACAGTACATTCCTGTGGTCATCTCATGAATATGTCTGTGTTCCCGCCTCGTGGGATTAACACTTCTGGGATTTCACAAGTGTGCTCAAGGGTTGGGGGACTTGTGTCCAAGCACTGATTCCAAAAAGGATTCCCTTTTCTTTTTCAAAGGTAAGTATTTTTGGCTTTTTATACCTGTTCTCGAAAATGCAATATTTTTTGTTCTCTGATTCTGTCCTTCAAAGACATAACCAGCCACCAGAACGCCCTGATTCAGGCGTTCACTGCTGTACTTCAGATCATAATAAATGCCTGGAGAGTAAAATTCAGTGCTAGAGTGAGGTTTTCTGTGTAACTTGTGATAGTAACCCAGCCTATCAACTACGATAAGGGAGATATTTCAATTTTCAGTGAAATGACCTAAGTCCAGATATGATTAAAAGCTAGATCTTTTGGGTCCCTGGGTGGCTCAGTTGGTTGAGCGACTGCCTTCAGCTCAGGTCATGATCCCAGAGTCCTGGGATCAAATCCCGCGTCAGGCTCCCGGCTCCTCAGGGAGTCTGCTTCTCCCTCTGACCTCTCCCTCTCATGCTCTCTCTCTCTCACTCACAAATAAATAAAATCTTAAAAAAAAAAATGCTAAATCTTTTTGGGCTAGGGAAGAGACTTGGGCCCTCATCTAACACCCACAAATACACGACGTGGCCCCATCTCTTTTCTAAATAACAGATCATGAACCAGAAAAGACCACTTATGGGAACCTGCCTTGAGGGTGTCAGCCTAAGGAAACACCACAGATCACAAAATTACTTGAACCAAGCTGCTCTTTACGGTTTCAAGTAAAATCCTATGAAAAATTTCAAAATTCTAGTAACTTCAAAAGGTTATAGTAAATTAAGTATATTGGTCAAATTATGTAGCCTTTTAAATATATTTATGAAGTGATTAACACGAGGATGTGTTTCCAGTCATTACAAATGGAAACATTCAGCACAAATATTACATGTACACAATGAACAATTGTGTAAACCAACACCCCACAAACTTCTACATGAAATTCAACATGACTCAATCTTGTGCATGATGGTGACTTCCATTTTTTTCCTAAATGTCTCCATAGACAAATGCTTATGTTGGTTCCAGAACCGGAAGGAATCCAGGCTTGCGTTGAAGCCGCAGAGACAGGTCCCACAGCGGCCACTGCCTTCAAAAGTTTGTATGCCATCTTAGGGACTACCCAGAACCCAGTTACACTAGCAGCAGATTTTTCTGGACTGTATTTGCAGGATTGGAGCTTTCAAAATAGAGACTTGATTACTTGATTACTGATCCACCTCCTGGTGAACATGAGATCAAGACAGTTTGCAGGTACAAAGGCTACAATCTAAATTGTGAATATGAAATACAGTTTCTCTTTTCTCTGCACGTGTTCAAGTTTATAACAAGATAAGGGGCTCCATTTACCCCTAAACAATATGGGTAGGATTCCTGTGAGTCCAGGCCTCCGTCGTTCCGAACATACTGGAAGGGATAACTGATAAAAGACCACCACTGCAGCCATCACTGCCTTCAGCCCGAGAGCAGGTTCTGCTTACTCAGTGACACTAGATAGCCAGTTTTCTGGAACATTGGTCCTTCGAGGTCTCCAGTTGCACTAAAAGCCCAACAAGAAGCCCAGGACCCTGGAACCAAATTAAAAAGCTCTCAGGCTACAGAACCAATAGCAAGAGCTATTAGCTCTCTTGGCTACAGAACCAAGAGCAACAGCAACTCCCACATCTGAAACTCTTTTGAAACATCATGAGCTGTCCATTGTTTCTCAGCCGAACTCAGCAAGGACACGGATTTCTTTTGCCTTTACTCTCGAGCAGCAGCTGCTGAGTACTGGCTCACCTGATCCTCCACGGGGTTTGTGGAGCCTTTCACTCTCCAGTCCACAGATGAGGGGGTCTCAGCAGAGAGAGGGGCTTGGCACACCTTCGCCTCCTCACATTTCTGTATCTGAAGGCCAATCATTATGGGCCTGAATTCTTCATTGGTCTTCAAGGAAAAGAAAGTGGGATGTTGAAAATTGAGATTATTTTGGCAAAGCACTGAGGAGGGGACGCATGAAACATTCAGCAACCCAAGCCACACTCACCAGGTCACCAAAGGCATTCATTGCCGTCTTGAAGCTGTGTTTCCATTGGCCGTACTCCTGGTTGTGCTGTTCAATCATTTTCAGATTCATCTCCCACACTGCTCTCCTCCATCCTTCTTCATTCTGCAGAAAAACAAATGAACTATCCTCTATTTCTATTTAAAACCAAATAACCTACTTGAAGTGGATGTGCTCACAGAGGGGAGCAGAGACCTTGACTGGGGCTGGGCTGATGCTCTGGGAGTTGCGCTCCAGCAACTACACAGCAGGACATCTGTCCCCATCGTGCGCAGTCACAGTGCCCTGCTTCCTGCCTGGGTACCAGCGGCCTCCAGAAGCTACTCCCCGCTGTGAACTCCCACCAGCATAGAACATTCCCTGGGGTCTCAGTGGACAGCTCAGATGTTACCAACCTCGTCATACAGTCTCCCGTGTGCCGCCTTCCACTGGGACCAGCGCGTATCTAAGCTCTGATCAAGTTGTGGAGCAGCTGAAGCTATTCCCAGGCAAAGGGGAGCCAGGAAGAGAGAAGGATGCATGTTTCAAAACTTAAGAAAGGAAAACACATGAGTTTCCGATTAAACTGAACTCTCAAAAACCCCGTCCTTCTCTCTTCTGAGACGTTAGCGCCACCATAGTGGAATAGGAGCAGAATTTATCCTCCTAACTGTTTCCACCGGGCTGTTGGGAAGGCTGCGGGTGTGGGATGGGCTGGGGACTTGCAGCCCCACTCCCTGCCTTGTGACCCGCCTGTGGCTTCCAGGCCGTGTGAACAGGGGCACGTGGCACCACCATCCTGTAGCCTAGCACATGGGGGTGTACGATGGGGCCAGGTCCGAGTACAACACCTCCAGCGAGCCCTGAACCTCTGACCCAAAACGTAGTTCTGGTTTGGGGAATGGCCCGCACCTCAGGACCGGCCCTGGCCTCACCTGTGGCAACTGTAGCTACGTTGACCCAGTCACAGGTGCAGGTCTGGGGGTCTCCCAGGCTGGGTGAGGGTCTCAGGCTTTGCACGGAAGGCCCTGGTTTTCCCAGGGCCAGCCCCACCCCCGCGGGCCTACACTGTGATAGACTCCGTCTGCCTGTGTGCACAACCGACTCTGGGCCTAGTGGCCAGTGACAAGGCATCTGGACAGTGGTGCGTGAGTCAGCTGACCCAGAGGAGGGGAAGCTGGAGGACCAGGCTCAGTGCTGAGGGGCGGTCTATGCCTTCTCTGGGGGCCCAGATCAACTAAGTGCCCCAAATTCATGCGCTGGCGGGTGACTCATGAATAGAAGTCACAGGGAGCCCCAAGTAGGTTTTCAGCCTCAGCCTGCATGTCCTTCAGTCCTACAGTTGTGGATTTTTTACACCGTAATGAACACCATAATCTGGTCCCGTGGTCCCTGATTATTCCAGACAAAGGTGGGGGCAAGGGGAGGAAACAGAGCCCACAGACAGATTTATTAGCACTGTTCCAGGATGGGAAGCCTCTGGGTTTGGGGAGAATCTGGAGTGGACTGGCAGTCCCCAAACACTTGCCCAGATCCATGGAAAGAAAGGGGACACAAGGAGAGGTGTCCGGGGAAGGCACAGTGTTCCGTCACTCTCCTCTTCTGTCTCCATTAGGCACAGATTCTTCTTCCCTCTCTAGTCTTTGTCAAAGCCAACAGAAATGTTTTACTTCCAGAAAAATACGGTTTCATAAAACGAGGAAAGACGGAATGTTGAAACTGCCTCTTCCTCCCCATTCTCTGTGTTGTGGATTATTATGTTCCTCAGTATCGAATGTGTTTTTCTTGAGATTTAATTTAAAACGTTTAAGAAAGATGCTATTTTAAGCCAAAAAGTGTTCATCAGGAAACCATGAATTTGCCCTCTGAAAATCATTTTCGATCTCCTTAGGAACATGATTCCACAGGTCTAGACAGTGGGTCACAGCTCCTTTTCTGGACCTCCTTTCTAATAAGCTCCTGTGGGTCAGAGCTCTGCTCTGTTTGTCTCTATTTTTTACCCTGGAGCTTCCAATCCAACTGGGTCTCCTTACAGAGCACATCAGCTTGAGCTGCGGAAGGTTAGGCCAGGAGACCAGTGGCGCTGGCATGTCTGCCCGGAGCCCCCTGAGCTGACAGAAGGGTCTGCCCTGAGCCAACCCAAGCCTTTCAGGCACAATTCCCGGTTTGGAAAACCTCAGCAAGCTTCCCAAGGACATGGAGCTGCTGCTCATGGGGCCTTCTTAGTGGCGAGACGCAGTTCTGCTGACATATGAAGGCATGTGTTGGTTTGTCTTATTTTGTGTACATAAGGGTTCTTGCTAGCGAGATCTTGGAGGCCAGAAAGCCACAAGAATTGGTTGGCACGATTCCAGCATTGAAAAGCTGTTAGATGGCCCTCCCCCTCCAGAAGTCTCCCATAATAAGGTAAGTTGGCCATGGAACAGGTTACATGGAAACTAGGTCACCCACCAGCATCAAGAAAACTTTCCTGCCACTAGGTACCCTATGAAACAGCACACGGTCCCCAACCCTGTGGCACCTCCCTTTTGAATATTAGTTGGGCTCCTAGAAACCCAAAGGCTTAGCGGTGTGGGTATAGAGTCACGGGCAATACCTACTGTACACTTGCTTATTTAAGTCTAACAATTGTAATTCCAGAATGCAGAGATAGCTAGGAAGATGGAAAAGAAGAATTGAAAAAGAACCTAGAATTATAGTGTCCATTAGGAGGAAACTTCCAGTTAGACAGGATTGTACATTTAAGAACCACAGTCAGGGTTCCCAATCTAAATCCATGGAATGGGATGCCTACTTTAGTTCATATGTAGAAGCCTCCAAAAGCCTTCAAGATTCCAAAGTAGTCACATGGAAAGGTTCATGACTAAAGGCTACTGGACAGTTAGAAACATGAGGGATGCTTGAGACCAAAGCCTATAAGATTGACTTGTCTCATATGCCTCCCCCATCCTCCTTCCCCTGAGTGCTCTCTCTGCTACTTGCCCACCTCAGGGGCCTTTCCCCCTGAGGAGACACTTTTCTTTCCACAGGAAACCACCTGAGGTGACAGGTGATCCTCCCGAGATGCCTGTCATCCTTGGGCAAAGACTGAACTGAGGGCTGCGGTAAAATAGTTCTTCAACCTGGGTAGGGTCCCCAGAGTTTGTTTCTGTGTTTCTTTCATTTTTAAATCAATCCTCCTAAGTCCAGGTGAGAGAGGGAAATAAATATTAACATTATCTCTTCCTTTCCAAGTCCAGACCCTCTGGCTATGGGTCCTTTCCTCCTGGAATTACTATTTCCTCTTGTCCCTCTGGTTTTGCATCCTAAGAACCTGGCTTGGCTTTCCAGCTGCCTCCGCTCTCGCTTGAGCTATCTTTGGAAGTGGCTGTAGATCTTGTAAAGGTAGTACTGTTTACACCTTTAAAGAAGTCTTTTAGGTCCATGATGTTGTTTAATATTCCCAAGTGTTACTGTCTTTCTTGGCTAAGATCTGATAATATAGTTTTTAAAATTTTAGTAACTATAGAATAAAAAATTTGGCCAGATTAAAAGCTGATATTTAGATGCTGATAGAATTTTTTAGTTTTCCCTTTTTTCTTTTTTTAAATTTTTATACATTTTCTGTTAAGCAAAATTTACTCAGAGGAAGACTTCCTCACAGGTGGATGGGCGCATCAGTCCTTCAATATTATTAAAGCAAGAAGTCTGTTCTTTGAGAAACTAAAAACAGGTATACTTGTTTTACAAATCTAGTCTTTACAGGACAGAGGTCTGGTTCCAAAAACAATTCAAAGAACACCAATAATTTTTACCATTCCCCAAGCTGCCTCCCTTATTTATCTCAAAAGGCATATAAGTATTGTAAAAGTCCTGGCCCAAAGAGATAAGAAAGTCCTTCAAGAAAGTGCTTTCATTTTTTTCCTGTGCCTTCAAAATATAACATTCAGTGTTCTACTCATCTTCTCCAGGAACTCCTTCACAATGCAGATTCCAGGAAGATTAGTCTTACCAAGCAAACAAGGAAGCCAAGGCCATTTTTAAAACTTGATTTGAAAAAAAAACAAACAAACTTGATTTGCTTCAACAAATACAAATATCAAGTGTCTTCCTCGGAAATACTAAAACCAAAAATTTTTTGCCTTCTATATGAATAACCTTAGCTTATTCCATCCACCAGAACATAGATCCAAACTTAAAAGTTGGATTTTTTTAAGATTTTATTTTTTAAGTAATCTCTGTACCCAACAATGGGCTCAAACCAACAACCCAAGATCAAGAACCACATGCTTTACCGACTGAGCCAGCAAAACTACTGAGTATTGTACCAATTTCATGACAGTAATTTTGCAATAGAAGCTCTACTCTCTGCAACTTTCTGTATGTTCATGGACATCTATAGATATTGTCAATGCTTCCACCTTCAGATGGCACTGCCAACAGCAATTTGTGAAGACCTCCATCTAGCTGGTTTGAAGGCAAGTGACAGTAGGTGTTAGGCAAAAGGTAGAAATTAACCCAAGGGCTTTTCAAGTTCACACAATCTAGAAAATTATTTGGTATAAATATTACTTTAAGGTTGATGGTTTAGCTAACATAAATGCATCTTTAGAGTTATCAACAGTAAATATAAAGACTTTTATTCTACCTGAGTTTATCAGCCAAATAAGTTGTTATCATTTATAAGAGCTACCATCAATCAAAAAACTATAATAACTTGGGATAAAATAGACTTTGTCTAATGCTTAGTAAAGTTTTTATAGGTAACCTGTACATAATTGTTAATACAAGTAGATTAAATATCAAGTTTTGGAGTAAACTTTTTTTTTTAAAGATTTTATTTATTTATTTGACAGACAGAGATCACAAGTAGGCAGAGAGGCAGGCAGAGAGAGAGAGAAGGAAGCAGGCTCTCCGCGGAGCAGAGAGCCCGATATGGGGCTCGATCCCAGGACCCTGGGATCATGACCCGAGCCAAAGGCAGAGGCTTAACCCACTGAGCCACCCAGGTGCCCTTGGAGTAAACTTTTTAATTGTGTAGGGGCCAAGAGCAAGCTGCCCCAAGATGGACCACTCTAGTGTAAAAATTGTTTTTGAGTTAAAAGCAACCAAAACCCAGCTTATTCAGGAAAAATTCTTTACCTCTCCCTGGTCTGCCTCCCTTAGGAGGAAGAGGGCATTAACAGATTCCTCCTTAGAAATTTACCTGCACAACACAGCAACCTTTGCTTTCCAAACATCTCTTCTCACCTGCCCGCTAACAGTCTCCCTCCTCTTTATATCCCCAGTTCTGATTTTTCACCTTACCTTTGGATGTCCTGTGAGCCCTCTGTTGCCTGCCTGTCTTTAGAATTTATGGATTTGCTGTCTTTAGAATTTATGGATTTTGTGTATGTGTGAAACTAAATTTGATTTTCTCCTGTAAATCTGCCTTGGATCAATTAGATTCTTAGTCCAACCTGAAGGACCTTAAAGGACAGAGGAAATTCTTCCTCCTGGAAAATAACAAAATTTGGAGATCTAAGTGGCTTTACGAAATGCTTTATGAATCAGGCAGGGCCGC